AGTATATATATATATATATATATATACACACACATTGTTGTTAAACAAAGGATGGATACATTGGACAACATAGAAACAAGAAAATGGAAAATAATAGAATGTGTAGGTATCAAAGTGTGTAAGTATTCGCTTGTATAAAAAATTGATAAATCCAACAAACGTCAATCTCTTTTTGGTCAAGTTTTTTCTGTAATACTTGAGGTTTGGTGTTAACTCATGTATTTGTTTATAAAAATATAGGATTACTGTATTCAATTATACTTGTATTGCCTAAACAATCTTTTAAATTGGATAGATTACTTATGTATCCATATATACTTGTATGCACAAATCACCATTTCAACTTCTGTTAATATTACAATACAAGTATCTATGTATATAAGTATTCAACTATATACAAATATGACAATCACACAAACCTCAATCTCTTTTTGCTCGTGTTCTTCCTTTACTACTTTTTTTTGTATAACTATAACCGTTGTAATGGAGAAAGCAAAACAATTCTTCAATCGAACCTCTATAAAATAGATGAAAATATAGATGGATATAAATATAATCTTCATAAAAAAAAATAAAAATAATCAATTAAAAGATACTTGATGAATTCAAATCACAATCACACAAACCTCAATCTCTTTTTGCTCATGTTCTTCCTTTACTACTTTTTTTTTTATATAACTATAACCATTTCAATGGAGAAAATAAAATAATTCTTCAATTGAACCCCTATAAAAATAGATGAAAATATAGATGGATACAAATATAATCTTCATAAAAAAAGAGAGAAAAAATCAATTAAAAGATACTCGATGAATTCAAATCACAAAAACTACTCCTAGAATCATCAAAAAGATCTTAAATTGGAAGGAATATGGGAGGAAAATATTGAGAATCTGTGATATAGGAATGTTGATGAAAGAGAAAGTATTAATGAGGATAAAATTGAAAAACTGATCACATAAAATGTGCCTAGACATAATTAATTATCCTTGTGATAATAATTTTCCTATTTAATATTTAATAAATTTCCTGATTATTTGTATATAATTAACTTTGCTATTTATTGTGTAGTTATATCCATATAACATAAAAAAATAAACTATAGCTATTTGTTTTAAATATATATTGATGTTTGCCATATTCTGTAGTTTTTCCTTAACAGAAGTTGAACTTATAGCTATTGATTGAACTTCAATAACCCTATAAATATAGTCATTTTTGTAAGTTGCTCATCTTAAAATGAAGTTATCCTGGATACATATCAAGTCATTTTCTTTCACTAGGCTTGAAAATGTAGTCTTCGTTATTTCTGCAGGACTTCAAGTCTTTCTGTTGACAATAAGGTGCTTTGAAGATTCCCTCACAGCCCTTAATATACGTTTAAACAACTTTTCCACATTCACTATGCTCTTAAAAGCATAAGTGCAGTGAACAACCGAATTCATAATTTTTCCTCTTGTTGATATAGGAGGAGACTTTTGCTTGATCAGTGGGAGGATTTAATATGACTTACACTTCTTTTATATGCTTTCTTCTGATCAGTTACTTAGTTCAGGCAAATTGCAGAAATGATTCAACTTGTCCAAAGTCCTTTTCATGTGGAAATCTTACTGACCTGAGCTTTCCTTTCTCTCTTTCCACACAACCTGACTGTGGAATAGTGCCCATCTCTGGTTGTGATGCTAAACCATATCCGAGAATCCAACTGCTTCCTGGAGGAGATTCGTACTATGCTTTAGGAAATCCATTTAATTATACAGTTTTTCTCGGGGACCCCAAGCTTCATGCCAAGTTGAGGCAACACAAGTGCCAAGCATTTAACAAAAAGTTCTCCCTTCCAAACTCTTCTTCTATTTCTTTCATACTTCTCCTATTGAATTTTGTCAACTTCTTCAAATGCAACATCACTAGTAATAGCACCCCAAACGTTACCCACACAAATGACCATTTTGCTGGTTATAAAAGGTACAATGGCTGTACAGGCTTCAGCATATACTACAAGCTTCGCCTAGGTGATCATGAAGATGCTCATGCTGGCAATCTTCCAGCCAACTGTTCACTTAACAGATTGCCAATTGGCTCGATATCAGATGAAGGTGGTTTGTTCAATATGTTAAGCGCCGGTTTTCTAGTACAATGGAAACTGTCTGCGGACTGTTACAAATGTCACTATGGCGGAGGTCAATGCCAGACCGATATAACCAACAAATTTCATTGTTCATATCCAAATAATCCACATGATCATCAAAAAAATGATCTAAATGCTCAAGGTCTAGTGCATATTTAATAAATTTCTTTCTCATTTTCGTATCAAATATTGATAATATTTCATAGAATTTTTCCTCTTTTTTAGATGCAAAAATGACTAGAAGCAAGTTGGGACCGACTCTGGGAGCAGGTAGTTAAATATCCATTAACTGCAGGGTTCTTTCTTATTTCAGCATAATCATGCATATCATTTAAATTTTCTTCTTCATTGTGGTAAAAATTCAAAAAATTGAGGAGACACGTACTTCAGATTACAGAACGTATGGATAGTGGAGTTGAGTGGACATTCTTTCTACTTGTGATGTTTTCCTTTCTTTCTTTTTCCTGAAAACCTTGATAACTGACTGCATTTTTTGTAGATATCTACTATTTGCATAGTCCCTAAAGAAAACTATACTTCCCTGATAGTGCATAAGACATTCAGAATTAGTTATATTTATATTCTCTGATGGAGCATGGCTTCATTTTGCTTTCAACAGGTGCAGTTCTGTTTACAGTTGGACTGTTGGTTTTACTCTTTTACTTCAGAGAGAAGATTTTGTGGTACAAATACATCAGGTTTTGGGAGTCTAATGCTGAGGATCACCAAAATATTGAAGCATTTTTAAAGAACTATGGATCGTGTTATCCAAAGAGATACAACTATTTAGAAGTCAAAAGAATCACCAGTGGCTTCAAAAATAAACTTGGTCAAGGAGGATATGGTTCTGTATACAAAGGATGTCTGCATAACGGAAGTCATGTGGCTGTGAAGGTCCTGAAGAAACTAAAAGGCAGTGGTGAAGAATTCATTAACGAGGCAGCAAGTATTAGCAAGACCTCACATGTTAACGTCGTGAGCCTTGTGGGATTTTGTTTTGAGGGATGTAAAAGGGCTCTCGTATATGAATTTATGCCAAATAGATCTCTTGAAAAATTTATTTATGAGGAAAGATCCGACAGTGTTCACCAACTGGCTTGGCCAATACTGTACAAAATTGCACTAGGCATAGCTCGAGGATTGGAGTACTTGCATCGTGGTTGTACCACTCGGATTTTGCATTTTGATATAAAGCCTCATAAAATCCTGCTTGATGAAGATTTTTGTCCGAAGATCTCTGACTTTGGACTAGCCAAACTGTGCATGAAAAAGGAGAGCATTGTGTCAATGTTTAGTGCACGAGGGACTATCGGTTATATTGCTCCAGAAATTGTTTGCAGAAACTTGGGAGGTGTCTCTCACAAGTCTGACGTCTATAGCTATGGAATGAGGGTCCTAGAGATGGTTGGAGGAAGAAAAAATGTTGACGTTGGAGTTGATCGCACGAGTGAAATCTGCTTTCCACATTGGCTCTATCAACGAATTGAACTAGACGAAGAGCTTCAACTAATTGGGATAATGAATGAAGAGGAGAAAGAATGTGCAAGAAAGATGGTGATGGTGAGTTTATGGTGTATACAGACTGATCCCTCAAATCGACCATCTATGAGCAAGATTGTGGAAATGTTAGAAGGGAAACTAGACTCTCTGCAAATGCCTCCCAAGCCTTATCCTTATTCTCCCTCAAGAACAGAGGTAGATTCATCAGTAGTAGAACTGGCCTAGCCTTTATGTGTTCATATCTCAGCTAATATCACTGCAGTCACATTTTGTTATGGAATTGTAGCATAATCTGGTACTGTTACAGGTTCGGTTTCTGATGTGTTTAGATGTCCTTGAATGTAAGAAGATGTAAGTTGATGTTTTTCTTAATGATTTAATGCTAAAAGAAGAGTGATTTGCCTAGAGGAATGTCAGGATAATAAGCAGACCTAATTAGTGCTTTTCATTTTACCTGTTCAGCATATGTCTGACTATAAGATAATTTCCAGACAATTAGATAATGGGATTGCCTTATTGGTTAGCCCAATTGTGGTCTGGAGCCTAATTCAATCCCAAAAGTTAGCGCATGTGATGAGATCTTTCCAAGACCAAATAAGGCGACTACAACAAGATACTCACTTTGTTCAAATGCAACAGAAGCTAGAAGAGTACTCATGAAGCTAGATATTTTTTGCGGAACTTTCGCATATAGTCACTCAAAGATAGCTTAATTACGCTCCATAGATATAGTTTGGTAATTACGATTCGTAGCTACATGTTATAGAGAGAAGAGTGGCGAGCGAGATTGGGAGAGGGAAGAGAGAGGCGAATTGTATATGTATATTTGTCAAATTGTATATGTATATCTGTCGAATAATTGTATATATGTAACTGGTACACATATGTATTTGTATATCTGGTCGAGCGAGATTGGGAGAGGGAGGAGAGAGTGAAGAGAGACGAACTATATTTGTATATTTGTCAGATAATCGTATATATATAACTGATATACATATGTATTTATATATCTGGCAAGAGAGATTGGGAGAGGGAGGAGAGAGGCAAGTGAGAAAGGTCAGAGAGTGGATAGAGATTAATTGTATTTGTATATGTATTTATGTCATATAATTGTATAAATATGTGTATAATTTATATTTGTATATGTATAAAAGAGGACAAGTGACGTAATTAAAACTAAAATTAAGTTGTGAGCCGTAATTAATTCAAACTATAGCTATATTAGCTAATTAACTAGTGTATGCTTGTTTTTCTGTATAATTTTCCCTTTTTTTTAGTCCATTAAAAAGACCGAGGCCTTTTAGCCCAGCCTAAGAAAGCCAACTGGCCCTTAAGACTTGACGCCCGTGGGCCAAATGTAGTTTTGTTATTTCTACATGACTTCAAGTCTTTCCTCACAGCCCCTTAATATACGTTTTAACAACTTTTCCACATCCACTATGCTTTTAAAAATGCGCAAGTACTTGTGAACAACTGAATTCATAATTTTTCCTCTTGTTGATATAGGAGGAGACTTTTGCTTGATCAGTGGGAGGATTTAATATGACTTTCACCTCTGTTATATGCTTTATTCTGATCAGTTACTTAGTTCAGGCAAAGGGCAGAAATGATTCAACTTATCCAAATTCCTTTTCATGTGGAAATCTTACTGACCTGAGCTTTCTTTTCTCTCTTTCCACACAACCTGACTGTGGAATAATGTTCTTATCTGGTTGTGATGCTAAACCATTTCCGAGAATCCAACTGCTTCCTGGAGGAGATTCTTACTATGCTTTAGTAAATCCATCTAATTATACATTTGGGCTCGGGGACCCCAAGCTTCATGTCAAGTTGAGGCAACACAATTGTCAGGCTTTTAACAAAAACTTATCCTTGCCAGACTCTCCTTCTATTTCATGTTTTGAAATCATCAAAGTGAATTTTCTCAACTTCTTCAAATGCAACAGCAACAGCACTAGTAGTAGCACCCCAAACATTACCCATAAGATGAAAGATCATTTTGCTGGTTATAGAATGTACAATGGCTGTAAAGGCTTTAGCATATACTACAAGATTCAGCTATATGTTGAAGAAGACATTCTAGCTCGCAATCTTCCTGCCAACAGTTCACTCATTAGTTTGCCAGTTGACTTGATATCAGATCATGGTGGTTTGTTCAATATGTTAAGGGCCGGTTTTTTCGTAGAATGGAAGATCTCTGAGGACTGTTACCAATGTCACTATGGGGGAGGTCAATGCCAGACTGATATAAACAACAAATTTCACTGTACATATCCAAATAATCCACATGAACAAGGTTCAGTCACACAGTGCATCTTTCGTAGTGTCCTTTCTTGTATTCATATCACATATCTATAATATTTTCCCTCTTTTTTCTTTAGATGCAAAAACTGCTAGAAGAAAGTTCGGACTGACTCTGGGAGTAGGTAGTTAAATTTCCATTAACTGCAGTGTCCTTTCGATCTTTTTCTATTACAGAATTTCCATGCATATCATTTGAGTTTCTTCTTCATTGTGGTAAAATCTCAAAACATTTCCTTAATGATAAAGGATGATAAGAGAGGTAAGTACTTTAGCTTACACAAAATGATTGGATAGTGGAGTTGAGAGGACACTTTCTTTTTCCTTGTGATGTTTTCTTTTGTCTGAAAACCTCTGATTACTGATATTTTTTTCCAGTTTTTGGTGGATTAGGATTGGTGATGATTTGTTTAGCTGTCTACTTTATCTGGTGTTGCAAGAGGAGGAAATTTAATCCGCCCCACTTCCTCTCAACAAGGAAATTGTCATGTACATTTAAAAATGATGTTGAGAGAGGCAGTATATACTTTGGCATCCCAGTCTTCTCTTATTCAGAACTTGAAGAAGCCACAAATGATTTCAATTCCTCTCAAATCCTTGGAGATGGTGGTTTCGGAACTGTTTACTATGGTGAGAGACTTCCTAATCCAACTGAGCTATGCTTCAATTCTTTCTTCATATGCCTAATACTTGTTCATTAATGACAAGGAAAACTTAAGGATGGACGAGAGGTTGCTGTGAAGCGCCTTTACGAGCACAACTGCAAACGAATGCAGCAGTTTGTAAATGAAATTGATATCCTTACCAGGCTAAGGCACAACAATCTTGTCACTCTCTATGGCCGCACTTCAAGGCGTAGCCGTGAACCACTCCTTGTCTATGAATTCATTCCTAATGGAACTCTTGCCGATCACCTCCATGGTGACAGAGTGAAGGACGGATCACTCACCTGGCTAGTCCGCATGAACATTGCCATAGAAACTGCTGGTGCATTGGCTTACCTGCATGCGTCTGACGTAATACACTGCGATGTGAAGACTAATAACATACTCCTTGATCACAACTTTAATGTTAAAGTTGCAGATTTTGGGATATCACGGCTTTTCCCAAATGTTGTCACTCATATTTCAACTGCACCCCGGGGTACCCCTGGCTATATTGATCCAAAGTATTATGAATGTTACCATTTGACTAGTAAAAGTGATGTTTATAGCTTCGGGGTGGTCCTTGTCGAGCACATTTCATCAATGCCAGCTGTGGATATGACTAGGCATAGCCAAGAGATTAATTTGGCAAACTTTGCAATAAACAAGATTGTAAAATGTGCATTTAATGAGTTGATTGATCCATCCCTGGGGTTCGACTCAGATACCAAGATTTTGGAGATGACTACTTCAGTGGCAGAGTTGGCTTTTCTATGCTTACAGACAGATAGGGACATGAGGCCTACTATGGTTGAAGTTTTGGATATTCTAAACGAGATTCAGATTAGTGAATTTGACAATGAGAAGAGAGCTGACTCTAATCTCAATGGAAATGAAGCTAAAATTGTTACAGCACCCAGTTTCACTGAATCAGAAGATATGTTTAAGCTGAAGCAAGTTAAATCACTACCTTCTTCAAATTTTGTTACTGATAAATGGGTTTCTTAGTTCAGGCAAACGGGAGAAATGATTCAACTTGTCATAAGTCCTTTTCATGTGGAAATTTTACTGACCTGAGATTTCCTTACTCTCTTCCCACACAACCCGGTTGTGGAATAATGTTCTTATCTGGTTGTGATGCTAAACCATTTCGAAGAATCCAACTAGTTCCTGGAGGAGAATGGTACTATGCTTTAGAGATGCATAATTCATCAGTTTGGATTGGGGACACGAAGCTTCAAACGATACCGAGACAACACAAGTGCCAGGCTTTTAACAAAAATTTCTCCCTTCCAAACTCTCCTTTTATGCCTTTCCTTATGATTAATATTGATAACTTCTTCAAATGCATCAGTACCAGTAATAATGCCCGTAACATTACGCACAAGAAGAACGAACATTTTGTTGGTTATAATATGTACAATGGCTGTGAAGGCTTTAGCATATACTACAAGCTTTTCGAAGATGTTGATGAATCCATAGGAGCAGACAATCTTCCTACCAACTGTTCACTTATCAGATTGCCAATTCACTCAGGTCATGGTGATTTGTTCAACAGGTTAGGTCCCAAAATTCTAGTAGAATGGAAACTGTCTGATGAATGTAATGAATGTCATTATGGTGGAGGTCAATGCCAAACTGATAAAACCAACAAATTTTCTTGTCACAAAGGTAGACATCTCCAAAATAATTTATACTTCCAAGGTCAAGTTCATGCTTCTTAAGTCCCTTTTTTGTTTCATGCCACATAAATAATATATTTCATATTATTTCCCCCTTCTGTAGATGCAAAAACACCTGCAAGTAGTACCGATCAAAGAAAAGAAACAACTGAAAAAAAGATGGTGGGGCTGATTCTGGGAACAGGTAGTAAAACATGTTTAATTGCTGCCATGTATTCTTATTACAGAATATTCATGCATATCATTTAAAATTTCAAGGCTCTTCCCAAATGATGTCTCTCATATTTCAACTACACCCCGGGGTACCCCAGGCTATATTGATCCAAAGTATCACGAATGCTGACCATTAAAAGTGACGTCTATAGCTTCGGGGTGGTCCTTGTTGAGCTCATTTCATCAATGCCAGCTGTGGATATGAACAGGCATAGCCAAGAGATCAATTTGGTCAACTATGCAATAAACGAGATCATAAAATCTGCAGTTGACGAGTTGATCGATCCATCCCTGGGGTACGATTTAGATACCAAAACTCGGGAAATGACTACTTCAGTGGCTGAGCTGGCTTTTCTGTGCTTGCAGACAGATAGGGACGTGAGGCCTCCTATGGTTGAAGTTTTGGATACTCTAAAGGAGATTCAGACTAATCTCAATGCCAATGAAGCTAAAATAGCAGTTGTTCCTCCAAATTCTGTGACTGATAAATGGACTACTTACTCTGATATAACTTGTACAAAGTAGTTAAGATTTCTATACTCCGTTTCTTTGTTACTTTTATGTAAATTTTTGTAGACTGCAAATGTACTACCGTGAGAAGTTTCTTGAGCTATGTACTGTGAGTGGAAGTGATGCAATTTTTAATTTCTATAAAAGTTTAAGTAGTATACACTGGCAATTTTAAGAACTTTTTAATCGAGAACTAATGGAGTTATTGAGGATCGGCATTAGAAATCTGTGCAAGTACAAGTGTTTATATAAGTACTAGTTTTCGAACACGTGCAACGCACGTGTATACGGTGCTAATTAGTATAAATACTTCTAAAATATAAGTGTACGATATGTAAAATACAAGCTCAAATCAAGGAACGATTATATTCAATTGATATTATCATCATTGCAAGGCACATCATACAAAAATATTGTTATCAAGTGAATTTCAAACGTACTACTACAACGACTTCAAATATAGAATTCTTATAATATATCAATTATTCAACTTGTTAAGAATACTTTTTTAATATGTCACAACACATAATTTCAATATCGGCATTATAGTTGCAAAATATTTAATGCCTTAAAGTTTCCTTCTTCTTTTTAAGGGAAAATGCATAAGTACCCCCCCAGCCTATGCCCGAAATCCCAGAGACACACCTAACCTTTACTAAGGTCCTATTACCCCCCCGAATTAGGTGTGTCTCTGGGATTTCGGGCATAGGCTGGGGGGTACTTATGCATTTTCCCTCTTTTTAATAAATAGTAGCCTCCACTTCTTTATAGATGCATACATATCGATTAGTTGTCGTCGAATGAGAGTAGTATTTTGTAATAGTTGTAGAGAAATTCGATCAACATATATGGTTAGTAGATCATTATCAAGTTCATAGTGTACACCTACAAAAAAAATTAGTATTATTGTTAGAAAAATAATCATTGTTTAAATATTTAATTGACATGAATATGTACCCTTCGTCTTCTTTGACTCATTCAAAATTATTAATTATGTCATCTGTAAATTTTGAATTATGAAATACAAGACAATCATTTGTGAGATATTAACAATATGGTAGAAAAAAGAAAACAATATAAATCAATAATTATAATGGTGCAAAAAATAAATGCATATAAAAGAAAAGATAACTTTGAATTTGTGTATAGACATACTTATGAACCAACCTAAAAGAAAAAAAAAATTACATATAAGAAAATTTGAAATCATCAAATAAACGTTCAATGAAATAGAAGTATTTTCAAAGGATAAATAAACAGAAAATAAAAGTATTACTCCCTCAAATCAAGATTCCAGAATTCATATAATTAGACATCAAATCAAGACTTTAGAAAACAAAAGTATTTTCATAAAAAAAAAAAAAAAAAAGAGAACAATAAAACTACTGCTCCACCTTACTTAAGTTCAGTTTCTACTGCTCATACAATTAGATACATAGTGGTAATATGATTTAAATATAAATAGGAGATATCAGGAGATGTGAAAAGACTTATAAATTATTTGAAATATAATATTTAACGTAAAATTATGTCTTTTTGGATTCTTAAATATAAAAAATAAATAAGATCGATCGAGAAAATGAAAAGGTTTTTACCTAATGACACTATACGGTTGTTTAATGAGGAATTATGTCTTCTTGGTTTGTTAATGTGGTTGAAGAGAATAGGAACTGATTTTGATGAGTGGTGCAACTATTTAATATGCTATTATTTAATATCTAATTATTAATTATAATATAATGGGAAAAGGCAAATATGAAAAAAAAAAATAAGTTTCATGGTATAAGAACTGAAACGTTTTGACCAAAAAAAAACAAAAATGAAATAGAAATGAGAAAAAAAAGAGAAGAGAAAGGCAATTTTAAAATTAAAATAACAATTACGGATACCTAGTAGTAGTATTTATGATAGTAAAAATGTTCTCTAACTGCATTATATTGATTACAACATATACTCATAATTGGATATTTTTGAGATTATGTAAATTCTCTAGCCTTTTATTCCTACATAATTACTATTCTGTAGTATTAAATATTCATATAATAACTAATTAGAAAGTATATTACGAGATTCTTGAATAGGGAAAAATCTAATTCTAAAAAATTGCAATTAAAAATTCACGGTAACTTGATCCAAAAGGGAATGAATTATATATCGATAAATAAAGAGTGCATGTTATTGTTTTGTAAATAATATTTATTTATTATTGCAAAGAATATTCTTACTACCTATATTTAAAGAGTTGAGAAATTTACAAGAAACATACCTGATAGATGGAAAAAGGCAAATATGAACAGAAAAAAAAAATCATGGTATAAGAACTCAAACGTTTTCACCAAAAAAACAAAAATGAAATAGAAATGGAAAAAAAAAAAAAGAAGAGAAAGGCAATCTTAAAATTAGAAAAATAATTACTTGGAGATTCAAAATGGTAGAAAGAATGTGATCATAACAATCATGAACTTCACAGTATCTGTATACAACAACTCTGCTCGACATCAAGATTAAATCATCACTTTTAAACAAGAAATATAGATATCAAAAGATATGTTCATCACATTTTTTGTACACAAAAAAAATAAAAAATTGGAGAAATAAAATATTCATAAAAATTTCAATATATACCATGAAAATATTTTACCTCATGTGATCTTCAATTTGATATAAAAAAAAGTATTTCATGTACACAACAAATCTAATTGTATTTGCACTTGTGTACAACAATCCCTTCATACGATCAGAAAAGTGATTCCTTCAAATAGCCTCTAACCTCTGTTTGTAGTACACATATACTCCAACAATTTCATATCAAAATTGAATATACATTTGTAAATACCTAAAACTCTTATGAAAGTTAAAAAGAAAAATGACGACAAGTTCTTAATAGAGAAATTTTAATAACAAAGCTCGAAGAATTGAACAAAACATTAATAGAGGAAATGAAAAAGAAGTTCAAACTCAAAATATGACTCACCATTTTGGCTTAGAACGATTGTAATATCAATTGTGATCTTTGAACTTGTAACATCCAGCAAATTGAAATAACTAAGAAGAGGCTTAGAATTTGAAAATTTTCATTTTGAAAAGGATTTGAAAATCTGGAAAATTTTGGCTAAGTATGGAAAAGGTGAGTTTTTGGCCAACTTTGAGCAGTCATAACTTCCAGCTCAAGATGATTTAGGAGTATTTCCAGTTATGGTTGTGAAGCTTGTGGAATGATCTTTCCAACGCCGCCAAGTTTGCTCAATTCCGAGTTCGTATGAGCGAGTTATGGCCCTTTGAAAGTTGGGCAGTTGACAAGAAAATCCGTCCGGGAATCATTAAGGGCATTTTGGTCTTTTCCCTAGCTATTTCTTTTGAGGATATATTGTTGTGTTAGGCTGATATTTGGATCATTTCGTTCCATTTTAAGAGAGTGAAAGTTAGGGTTATTGAGAGTGAAGAAGAGAAGAAGAAGAGAAGAAGAAGAGAAGAAGAAGAGAAGAAGAAGAGAAGAAGAAGAGAAGAAGAAGAGAAGAAGAAGAGAAGAAGAAGAGAAGAAGAAGAGAAGAAGAAGAGAAGAAGAAGAGAAGAAGAAGAGAAGAAGAAGAGAAGAAGAAGAGAAGAAGAAGAGAAGAAGAAGAGAAGAAGAAGAGAAGAAGAAGAGAAGAAGAAGAGAAGAAGAAGAGAAGAAGAAGAGAAGAAGAAGAGAAGAAGAAGAGAAGAAGA